TGCGACAGACTGTTGCCAAAAAACTTCTTCGCAGATTCGTTGTGGAGGTGGCAACAGGGTGGTGGCCCTGAGCCCGATTGGGTGTGGTGCTGCAGGGCATGCGAGCTGCAAAAGCCGGTGGATCAGAAGACGACATGGTGGTTTTGGAAGAAATTCCTCTACCAGTTCAAAAAACTGGAGCGCCACGGTGTCCCAGAACTCCTTGAGGAATACTCCCAGGTTCATCGTGCCTCGCTCATGTTCAATGATTTGTCGGATGGTTCAATAGTTTAAGTCTGTATTGGTCGGACACATTTTCCATGACAAAACGCCACCATGTTGAATCTGTGTTGACTGTGTTGCTTCCTTTTTCAACCAAGGCAACGTCAACCATGATGCGTGGCACCTGCGTGCTGATGCACCTCGGCTGGGCCACAACATCCCGGCTTTGCTGTTGCGTCTGCTGGGATGCAATCACTTCGACACGCCTTGTGGAGGCGGAAGGTGGTTCGAAGCGTTCATGGAGCACTCGCGACAGGCCAACTTGGACGATGTGGCTGACGCGATGGAGAAAAGTGCTTGGTATCTGTGGCAGACTTTGAAGTACAGCTCTTATGACCACAATGAAATAGATGCCATGATCACGATCAGCGTTCAACTTCACAGCCTCGAGAAGGAGATCTGGAGCAAAGTAGGCTGGGTGGATCGTGCAGCAGCACAGGCTATTACTAATTAATTGGCAAGTTTTGCCTGGAATAAGGGTTATCCACCATGTGGGTGTTCAGTCAGAACTTGCAAAAAAGCAGCGGTCACCCCATGACAAAGTTCCAAAAGTTTGGCAAGGACTATGGTGAAGAACCCTCTAGGGCCTTTTTGAAGGCACGGAATGGATCTAAAACAGATTCCCACCCATAGAGCGTTCAAGATGTGGAAAAAAGGCCATCGCAGGAAGTTACGGTCAATTGTTTGTACATGTGTATATGTGTATAATACTGTATACCGGCTATGACGTTTGAAGGCACATGCTTTCCTTTTCCGTGGACCTTTGCTTCAGATTCATGTGTTCCTTTTCGCTAAGGCCGCATTGTTCAAAACTCAGTCTTCCTCAGCCGCCAGCCGCATGATTGATTTTGATTTCATAGTAGTAAATAATGTTTTTCTGAGTGTGATTTTCTAGTATTTGTTCTGAATCTGATTTTGAATGTAAGTCGGATGTTCTGACTTTGATTTTCTGAATGTGACTTTCTGAGTAATTTTCGGACTATGATGTTCTGATTGAGTTTTTCTCATTGGTTTTCTGTGAGTTTCTGAGGATGATATTATTTCTGAGTCTGATTTTCAGTTTTGCTTTTTGACTTTGATTTTGTGAGTGGCGATATGATGCAACTTCCTCGCTAGCAAGGTGTTGCCCACGGCGGTGCGCTCTGCTCCCCCCCGGGTCACGGACTCAGACTGTCAGTCAGACATGATGCTTCAGATGGCTGTTTTTACAGAAGCCTTCAGTCATGTTCACATTCAGCAGCCTTCATTCAGGTTTCCTTTTCAGATTCACATTCTTTTTCATTCAGAATCACTTCAAGAAACGTTCATTCAGATTCACAAGAATCTTTCACATTCAGACCTACTAATGTTTTGCAAGCAGCCTTGAACTTGCATTGATTCATGTCTTTGCAGCAGTTTTGTGGTCAGCTACCGGCCCTGCCCACTGTCAAACAAATGTCAGTCATGTGTTCTCAAGCTAAATGGCCACTCAACACACATCACACTGTCCACCTCATTTTCCGACACTGTAGCTTAGGGCAATTACTGACCTTTTTAATAGCCTTCCTCTCAGCCATGCAGTGCCTGGCATGCGACAAGCTGTTGCCAAAAAACTTCTTCGCAGATTCATTGTGGAGGTGGGAACAGGGTGGTGGCCCTGAGCCCGATTGGGTATGGTGCTGCAAGGCATGCGAGCTGCAAAAGCCGGTGGCTCAGAGGACGACACGGTGGTTTTGGAAGAAATTCCTCTACCAGTTCGAAGAACTGGAGCGCCACGGTGTCCCAGAACTCCTTGAGGAATACTTCCTGGATCATCGTGCCTCGCTCATGTTTAATGATTTGTAGGATGGTTCAAGATTCTATGTTTAAGTCTGTTTTGGTCGGACACATTTTCCATGACAAAACGCCACCATGTTGAATCTGTGTTGACTGTGTTGCTTCCCTTTTCAACCAAGGCAACGTCAACCATGATGCGTGGCACCAGCGTGCTGATGCACCTCGGCTGGGCCACAAATTCCCGGCTTTGCTGTCGGCTTTGCTGTTGCGTCTGCTGGGATGCAAGTACTTCGACACGCCTTGTGGAGGCGGAAGGTGGTTCGAAGCGTTCATGGAGCACTCGCGACGGGCCAACTTGCACGATGTGGCTGACACGATGGAGAAAAGTGTTCGGAATCTGTGGCAGACTTTGAAGTACAGCTCTTATGACCACAATGAAATAGATGCCATGATTACGACCAGCGTTCAACTTCACAGCCTCGAGAAGGAGATCTGGAGCAAAGTAGGCTGGGTGGATCATGCAGCAGCGCAGGCTATTTAATTAATTGGCAAGTTTTGCCTGGAATAAGGGTTATCCACCATGTGGGTGTTCATTCAGAACTTGCAAAAAGCAGCGGTCACCCCATGACAAAGTTCCAAAGGTTTGGCAAGGACTATGGTGAAGAACCCTCTAGGGCCTTTTTGAAGGCACGGAATGGATCTAAAACAGATTCCCACCCATAGAGCGTTCAAGATGTGGAGAAAAAAGGCCATCGCAGGAAGTTATGGTCAATTGTTTGTACATGTGTATATGCGCATAATACTGTATACCATCTATGACGTTTGAAGGCACATGCTTTCCTTTTCCGTGGACCTTTGCTTCAGATTCATGTGTTCCTTTTCGCTAAGGCCGCATTGTTCAAAACTCAGTCTTCCTCAGCCGCCAGCCGCCGCTTGTCACTTTGCATGTTTCTCAAGTCTGAGTCTGAATCTGAGTCTGAGTCTGAGTGTGATTTTTCATCAGCCAGCAAGGCCGGCGACTTAGAACAATTGACTGTTACACCATTATCAAAGAAAGTGGACCGGCCTACGCCAGGTTGAAAAAATCCCTCGCTACTTGTCTTTGTGTTGTCACAGGGCTCAGATGGGCCACGATGTTCAGCAAGTGTATGAATGACCCTGACATCATCACAATAATCATCAATCAAGGGGGCCACTAAGTGGGGGATTTGGTTGAAAAGCATTTACCAGCGCTTAGACATGCACACCACCAGAAAAAACAATGCCAAGACAGGCCAAGACAATCAAAATCAATCAAACATCAGAACAATTCAGAACATATCAGAACAAACTCCACCACTCCATGTGAAGCCGGTACGAACCTCGTGATCAGTATGGGTGGATGGTGCCTGGATGAGACTGTCTGACTTGCAATAAGGTACTCCCCAAATCATCACGTGATATCATGTGTCTGTCCCCAAGTTTGTGTTGAGGGACCTTTTCATCACGAAGCGCACTATGGGGCACTGATTGCTCCAGGGAAATGCATCCTCACTCCAACACCCCTCAAGTGGAAAACAAAGACCAGAAATGACCAGAACATACCAGAACCATGTTTCCTTTTGCTACTGGGTTCCTTTTGCAAGCGGTGGAGATCGGTGGAGTGTGGTGGAGTGAACTGGACTGGAGTGGAGTGAAGTGGAGTGGAGTGGCGTGGAGTGGAGTGGTGCGGAGGCCATGTGCTGCACACAGACACTGTATGATACTGTATGATACTGTATGGCTCTCACCCCCCAAGCTCACCGCGACACATGAAAAGAGGACTCCTGAGCTTGGCGCCATAGTCTATCCCTGTTCTCCACCCGAGGTGGTGGCCAGAGCCAGCCCCGGGGGTCCCCAGGTCGGCAAATCCAATCCCCAACCAAATCCGCCCATGCTACGCGTTAGGGGGGTCCTGACGGATCAGCCGGGTTATTGAAAAATCTCTGACCCGGGGCCAGGCAAGAAATATGACTACTCAAGAACCCTCGTGTCGGTGCTGGGGGGCAAAATTGGCGCCATTAGTGTTCCAGCATCATTTTGGATCCATGCAGTAGCTTTCGCATGGTCCATGCGGAGTGATGCTGGACACGCATGCACATACACATGCTGGACACACATGCACATACACAATGTTTTGGGGACAGTGGTGGAGTGTGGCGGAATGGAGTGGAATGGATTGGAGTGGAGTCCAAGCTCCAAAGTGACGATGATCAAGAGCGAAGATCACGATAGCGGAGTGGGGGTAGAGCATTATTTGATCAGCAAAATATGGCAAACCTGAAGAAACTTTAAACAAATTGGTTTGAGTTGGTGCCAAGGATATTTTCCGCTCCATTTCGAATAAATTACTAATAAACAATGATAGAGTGATTCTAGACATCCTGACATATTATAAGGACACTTCAGTTGTTCTTGGATGTTGTGTTTTGGGGTGTTGGGCACCTTACCCCCCCTCCCCCGCCCTAGGCCATCTTTTTAATTCATAATGCAGCATTCAGACTCAACCGTTCAAAATAGTCAGTTACATGAATCACTTATTACCTTCAAATTTAGATTATCTGTCCAAAGCATATTCTCCAAGAGAGACTCGCTTATACATACATGATGCCATTCAGACTTGACGGTCCACAAGACTCACTTATTAATTTTTTAAATGTGTCCTCAAGTTCAGACTCAACTGTTTAATAATATTATGAATCATAAGTTAAGAAATCTTCTTCTTCCTCCCCTTCTGCTTTAGCATCCAAATCAAAGGTGAATAGGAAAACTGAGAGCATCTTCATCTTTTTCCTCCCCCTCTTCTTTAGTATCAATATCATTAGCGTCAGAAACAAGAAAACTGAGAGTCAAAAAAAAGTGAGAGTCATTTTTGCAAGCCCCTCTGATATTATAAATTATAAATATGCCGAACAAAATACAATACGTACAAGAAAACGTTAAAACATATTTTCTGGTCGTGTGTCTGCACCCTTCTCTCTCAGAAGTTTGCACAGTTCCAAAAGCCCATGCTTCGCCGCCCAGTGGAGAGCCGTGTAGCCCAACTGCGCACCGGTGGATCCGTCTCCGTTCTCCCAGAACTGGTTTGGTGGAACGAAGCGGGTGGAGAGGCTGGAGAGGGAATGAGAAGAGTGGGGCAGAAAATGGTAAATCCAAACTGAGAATTGAACGCAGTTCAATTTCCACAACTTGTCAGTGGGGATTCGAAATGGTCTGTGAGAAACACTGGAAAAGTGGTGGAGAGAGGGCCTACATCCTAACGTTGTATGGGGAACGAAGATGAATAATCACCTCAAAGTTTGGCTGACTGGCCGGTTGTAGTTGGTTGAACGACACACGTGTGTCATCCCAAATAGAACAAAAAGGAGATCACGGGTGGCGGACTCCCCCCCAGCGACGATCCGACATCACACGTAACTGGTCGGTCCAAATCCGGAAGAAAAGGTACCGTGTGAAGGACGATCTTTTTGAACATCACTTAATGGAACACCACAAATTAATGTAATGCTACTGTACGACGAATGATTGATTAATAACCGTAATTGCATCGATAAGAATGATGTCAGATGGAATCACAGAACATCCAAAGGATTCCAAAGGACCCAACATGACCCAACACATACTAAGCCCATGTTTTCAGCATTGAAAAGCCCATGCTTCTTAGAACAATGCACATCTCCGCATGTTCTGACACATACTTGCTCACCCCCAGCAGTTAGAACACAGTCACATGCTTACGTGTGAACCGAGACAACAAATTGCATACTGTCAATGTACATCATTTAGCTTTCAGACTCACTGTATTGAGCTGTTGTTTCCCCAAACCATGCATGCCGAAAGACCAATATATACCAATATAAAATAGTCGTAAAGTCTTGAGTACAGTAATTGCGATGCACTTTGTCACCATGGGCAGCAGGAACTGAGCAAACTTGTAACACTGCACCAAAGCTCAACCCGCTTTCCCACTTTGGGCAACGAGGATTATGTCATCCCCTGCCACCCAATCTTGACGATTTGGGTACAAGTAGGCTTCAACCCAATCACGTCAAAGGTTTGCCCAATGTTTAATAGTGACAAGGAATAACGTTTAACATAACTATCTAGATCAATTTGGCAAACAAACAAAGCCTGGAATGTTCAAAGTTATAGATTTTCCAGTTCTGTTTTGGATGTTCCAAGCATCACGTTCGATTTCGCTCTCTTTGTCTGGTGTCTCACGTTCCAAAACATCTTATCTAAGTGATACTATATAAAGGAAGGCTGTCGCTGGTGTAACTTCTAGCTAGGATAGCTCTTTGAGATTCTTCCTTGTCAAACAGCATCCAAGGCTGATCTAAGGCCAAACTAGCAAAATAGCTACCGTGAAACTGCGCAAATGAGTTGTATGACTAGTAGTATGATGGAGATGTGCAAAACCATTGCACCTTATCACAGCCACCTGCCTTAAAACATAAGGGTTGTTGCTACAGCAAGCGGATGCTCGTGGAACATGCAATGGGCGCCTCCTTGCTGGCTATGGGGAGCCAAGAACTTAGGCTCTACACCCTGATAGCCAAGGGCCAAGGGTATAGAAACTCTTTGCCAACCCTTGCTTGTCTCATTTGGATGTCGGCACCGAACATGTAACAGAATAGACGACGAGACATGGTCAATCAGGGTCAACCGGGCTCCGGGTGTTGACCCTCTCATTTCCTCTCATTTGGTATACGTGATCAACCAGGCCCCCAAAACACTCGTTCAACACTTTCCCGCTCAAGGCTCTGTTCGGCTCTGTGGGTTAACGCTCTGTGAGAACGGGCGGCTGGGGTGGCACATATCAGGAAGTGCCCCAGAGCAATCTCCCCACTTGCGCTGGAAACTCGGCCGGAGTGGAGATTGATGTATTGCAGGGTTTCCAGCGCCCCCAGAATGGTTCAATGGCCCCAAGCGGATCCATCCTCATCTCTGGCATTGACATCTGCACCATTCGCCACCGCTTCCTGAATGACCGAGAAGCGAGAAGGGAGAAGAGCGCACGCGTCAGACTGGGTGGGTTTGGGGATGTCCCGAACATGGTCAGTGCTGGTCCGAGGGCTGTAGTAGAATGTTCTAGTTTCTCGTCTTTGTTTGAATGCTCAATTGTAGTAGAACGGGATGGAATCATGTGCCCACCAAAGAATGGTCAGGAAATCATGAGGCAGGTGCTACGAAGAAGAACTAAAAACCAGCCGAAATCAAATAAGTGATCCTGCTGCACCCACATGCAGCCAAAGCATGCAACGTGTGGATGATATCTAAATATATTGAATCGTCAACCCAAACCCTCACTCAAACAGTCAGTGTCGCTTCTCTTGTCTGCATAACCCCCAAGCCCAGTGAATTCTTTAGCACATGGCTACCTCCTTGGCTCCTTGGCTCACTGAAAGCACCAACCAAACCACAGCCGCATTCTGAGAATATCTCCCAAACATGAATGGACATATGATGAGTCGAATAGCATGCTCACCATGCTTATTCTTCTTCTTGATCCAATCTCGCACACGGTCGACTCTGGGTCAAAACCGGAAGACCGACCGGTTGACCACCGACCATGAACAGAACAGACTACAAGGCAGGTCAACCTACCAGGGATTAAGGTGTCCTGGTGACCCAAAGCCAGTTGTCTGACCGTGCACCACTTGTCCTGGACACTGCTCTGTCTGTAGACAGCGCTATACCGAGGCACTTGGCACTTGGCGATGTCCCCCGCCTGAGCAGCCTTCACAAGGCCTCCTCCTGATGGTACACAGGTTTTTAATGCAGGAAGTTCCAATGTACAAGCTAATTAAGGGCTGTCTGAAAGAGACCTCCCCACTGGGATATCTGTGAGAAGTGTACCGAAAAACCTTTGACCGACCACAAACCGATACGAAACCTCCGTCCGGGTCGGTCCACCGAGACAAGACTGGACCCCTCCCGTCGTTGAAACCACGTCGTTTCACACGTTGAAACCGGGCGAGGTGAAGATTCGATGAACGACGACCAGTCCAGGGTGAGAAAGCCATGAGATGTTTGCTTTCGCTCAAAGTAAAAAAGAAGCAAGGGTCTATCTGGAGGGAGCGTAGATTAGATGAGTGTGCATCAAATTCTGCAAACGCTCCAACTATGGACTGTGGTTGATGTAAGACCTCTTAGTGCTCATCCCCAAGAACATTGGTGGGTCTTCTCAGTCTTCTCAATAAATACAGTCAAATCCCCCCAAAATGCACTTTCCTTATCTTTCCTTTCTACCTGTCCTCTAAGCCATCCACGACACCCAGTGGATGAATCCTCCAAAACGCCTCCATTGGGATACTCGCTTGGGATGCCTTTGGCTTCTTGCCGAAACTGGGCTCAAGACTGCCGGGGAAACTCCTGCAACTGAGATGGCCCAGAAACTATGATGGTATATGATGGTATATACGTTACGGTGTTTTGATGATTACGTTACGGTGGTGCAGGTCCTTCAGGAATCCAAGATAGTTGGAAAAATCACGAGATGTATATCATAGTTATTAATACCTTTTCTTTGGATCAGTAACAAATTAGTAGTAAGGATCATATCCCTCTTTGGGCCCTTTCAAAGCGTCCAGAAATGCCGCACTCCCACGTCCGCATCTGCCAGATCTCCTGCAGAAGTGCTCTGCGGTGCCAGGTGGCGTAGCAGCGCGGCCGTTCGACGCCACCTGAGAATCCCAAGAATTCACCAATGATGTTCTCCACCCTAGTAGTTCTGCGATGCCCTCCACCCTAGTGGTGATGGTCTTCTCCACCCTAGTGGTGGTGGGATCTTCCCAGTAGAAGGCGCCCGAGTTCGGAAGACGTGATGAACAGGGGATGAACTCCACGTAACCACGTGAGTGAGCCGGCCGGAGTGTAGGGATTCATAGGGTTTCATAGTGTATGGGTGTTGATCCGACGCATCCCCAAAAACAAGAACCACCGGGACGCCATGGCCAACATCGTCATCACACTCTGTTGAAACACTCATCACCATACATCGCCTAGCGAAGACCGAAGACGAGTGACTAGTGAGGAACATGATATCTACTTGGGAGCTGTTCTCCAAGTCTTGGGCACCACCAAAGGACTTGTGACTGGCTCGAAGCGAAGGCCGAAAGCGAAGGGGTCGGCATCCTGGCGCAGTTGAGGATTCAGAGTCCTTAAGGAGCAACCATTCGCAGCCCGTCCATGTATCATCATGTATCGATATATACATGCATACATAATACATTGACACTATTTATGACCCTAATCTATATAATCTATATAGTATTCCACACATGGATGGTCTGGGATTGTTCTACTAAGTAGTTTAGACCACTGAAACCAGCTCAACCTGTCCTTTAATGGTTTTGGAAGGCTAGGGCCAACACATCAAAATGGATGATGTTCAGCATGTTTGCCTACATCCAGGGGTGAAACATCTCACCAAATATGATCCTCTTCATTCATCATGTCCACGAAGGTCCCAGTTGGGCATGATCCTCTTCGGCGTTTCCAATAAATACATCGCACTTGCCGCTAGTACCCGATTTTGCTTCACCACATCTATGAGCACGTGCGCGTATCCAAGGCGCTCGTGCACAACCATGGCGTGGCAGGCGTGGCAGGCGCACCGTGGCGGCGTTCACGTCCGTCACTGTCGTCGTTGGATTCGTCGGTTTGGAGTTTTCGGACAAAAAGGGCACGATGATCTCGGGCCGCAAAGATCGTCGACGCGTCGGGGTTTTGGGGGTTTGGGCACAACCATGGCGGTTCGCTGATTCCAAGTTCTCTCTCTCCGTTTCAGCCTCTCAGCTGACAAGCTAATCGCTGATGCATTAGACATCGCTCGCACAGACCTCAAAGTGACCTTGAGCAATGAAAAGCTTCAGGGACGCTCGATGGCCAAGGTTGCATGTGGCATGTGGGATCATGTGGGATCAGGGCGTGTCAGGGCGTGTCAGGGCATAGTGTTCACACTAAAGAGTTGAGGTTCAATGGAACTCCGTTGATCCCGGCATGGCACCACTGACCATCTTATGTCTTGGTCTCAGAATTCCAGCAATTATTTTTCCCAGCCACTTCTTTCCTGTGCAATACATACGTATATACGGCATAATAGACATACATATATATATATATATGTTCATATCCTATAAAATTCTAGAACATACTTCATATAATATTCTAGTAATTTATTGTATTCACTAATATATACTAATTTAAATATACAAATTAAGCCGCACATCCCCCTCCAGCCCCTGTCGGCTGCTCCCCACTGTGTTGAGCGCAGCCGCTTGCCTCCAGGTCTTGAGGTCCCCGGATATCGGGCAAGAAGACCTGACCAAGCTGAAGCGCGCAGGAAGACCGGTGGTTCCGGGTGTTTTTTCTTTTGCTCACGCGTTATATTCAAGTGATTGGATGTGATTGGTGTGAATGAAATGCAAGTCCGATGATGTACCTTCACAACATGATTCCAGGAAGTGACACTGAACCTATTTAATGAACCTCTGGAAGAATTATGAAAGACATTGAACATGGTGGTCTTAGTGTTACTAAGAACCTCTGAAAGACATTGAATTACTAATGAACCTCTGAAAGACATTGAAAGAAACCTCCGGGTGTTTGAACATGGTGGTCTTCGCCTGTTTGAACATGCAGTGCCGTGCAGTTGATCGTGCCAAAAACATCGACTGGCGTCGACACTCGCCATCCAGTGGCACTCAAATGAATTAGGCTGTGGGCTGTGGGCTGTGGGGTGTCGCTCGTTCAAGCTCCTGGACCGGGAGCTCTTGGCTTTCACCCACAGTCAATTGGGTGCACCCAGCCCTGGTGGTTCAGCCAGGTCTATCCGAGAGCCATAAGGAGTTGAGAGTCTTCATCCTCTTCGTCCAAGGAGGCAGGATGGGTTGAGAGGTTGGACGAGCAGTGACGAGCATGCGGAGAGTGCAGGTCTACGGGAGATTCATGTTTAATCTTGAAAATGTCCCAGGTCTGAAAGAAGGAAGCAAAGGTTGAGCGACATCAACATGATATTTAGATATCTAATGGATCTCTACTACTCTGTCTCTCTAGGTATAATAGACAAATCTGTACAGAACAATGCAGAACATTACAGCATGTCACCCAGCCTTCTTCCCATCTGGGGCCGGGCTTGGTGGGTCTTGTCCAAATCCGGCCTTGAGACGCAGCACCCCGCATCCCTGCGACCAACGAAGCTTCTGAGGATGCCTGGCCGATCTCGACACGCGCAAGGAATGCGCAGGGAAGGATGCGATCTGCATATGGGTGTGTATCAAGCTGCGGAGGCACCGAGCCAAACGGTAAGTCGCGAGCGACAGACTGCTGTCCCCAAAGTCGCGTTGCCCATCCCAATGGGTTTTGGATGGTTTTGGTGTTCCTTCTTTCAGGGGGGGTCCTTGGGAGGTCTTCCTCCTTGAATACGCACCCATATCTTTCAGGAAGGATTGATCTCCACAATCTTTAATTGCCGCAAGGGGGGCAGCATCTCTGATATTGGGGGTTGACCAACCAAGATGGTAGCCTGATCCGTCAATCCCTTACGCTGGAAACGTGTCTTTTTTCTTAGGAGGGCCGTTGGAGATTGACCCGTGAGTTTATGTAGGTCTACAACTGTAGGTCTACAACCCAGTCGCAAGACGGGGTGGTGTTGAGTCCGTGAGTGGATCATCTGTACCTAACCTCCTTCCTCCGTTCGTTCGGCACCCCGTCTTGTGACTCGTGGACCTTTAGCCCAATAGGCACCCGTTCTACTTTCGCTAGGAAATCCTCGGTCCTCTCAGCTTTTTGTCAATGATGTGTTCTTCTGACATGACAAGCCTGTGCGGCCTTCGCCTTCGTGATGGAGCAGCCATGTTATATCATGTAATACAACTGTGCCGATTCCAGGTGGCCATTCAGAGCTGCAGCTCTGCTGCCTGTTGCTGCGTTCTTATCTGCTCCAGCCTTGAGCAACATCCGCACCGCTTCCAAGTGGCCATAACAAGCTGCACACGACAAGGTGGCCAAAATAGAGTTGTAAGCATCAAGGCGATTGACCCTTGTCAGCTCCAGCCTCGAGCAGCATCTGCCCCACCTCCAAATGGTTCCGGCTGTGCGATGCCATGCAAAGGTAGTGGGGGGTCTGCACCTCTGTTGGGATCGAGTGGCTTCTGAAGCAATTGTGTAACTTCAATAACTCAACCTGTTTGTTCTCACACGCAAGGAGTAGAGTCTCCCAAACGGTCAGGCGCACGAAAGTCCACCATTGCCAATTGTCACACTTGATAGTTGTCTGATGGGCAACGTCATCCTGAAGCTCGCCCATGTCTTCAGTCAAGAGTGTGTGTCGACATTCTGAGCATCCTTCTGCAAATCCTTGTCCACACTCCACCATGCATCATGCAGCCCAATTCCTCCTCATGAAGCTGGGTGACGGCACCTGAGAGTGTTGCGATCTCACTCAAGAGGAAATGGCTTCCCTCTCAGCTTAGAGACCAAGCGTGCACAAAAGGAAGTCAGATGGTAGAACCTGACACCGACCTCAAAGAGGGGCTCAGTTGTGGCTCCCCAAAAAAGGGGGCTTCGTTTCACCAGCCACCCTTCCTTAGGCCCTCCGGAGGGTCACTCTGACCCCTGTTCTGCTCGGGACATAGGGTCACTGTACATGCCTTGACCCTACCAACAGAGGTTAAATGACCTGAACTAGGACCCTCAGGAGTACCTATAGGATAGTCTAGTTCGGGTTCTTCAACCTCTGCTAGTCGACATATGAGTCACGGCACGGGTGGGGGTGCCAGGTGTGGACATCAAGGACTGGACGTCCGATACATCTTGATACACAACACCTTCATTTCGAAACAGTGGTCCTCAACTGAAGCTTTCAGTGAAAAAAACACCTTCTCTTCCTGGAAAAAAACACTTAAACAGCGAACGCATGTGAGGGCTTTTCACAGAGCGGCAAAGGGTCGGAAGAAGCATCGGAAGCCAGAACTCGCCTCAATTCGATCCATGGCTGGTTAGAAGGGGCCTCAGTGCACTCTCTGTCACTACCCATGCTCGAACGAACGACGGAGATATGACAGCGGATCTCTCCTTGGTTCTTTAAGTCGTTATTCCTTATACAATCTTATACATAATGTATATTTATTTGTTTATGTTCAATCCTTCAAGAGACTCGCAAACAGCACCCAGCTAGAGATTCGAGATGCGTGTTGTTTGTCTCTACTTCTACCTCACTGAAGGTTCACAGTTCCAACGGATCTGCAGATGAGATCTCAGCGGATCTGCAGCTCCAATCATCCTCTGGCCCCAGTGGATTTCACCCTCCCGCAATGGATCTGTCTTTAGAGGCTCTCATCCATGGCCTGCAACAAGAAATAGGGATGGGTCAAAACCTGTTTCCCCAGCACAGCGGACGGTCTCCAGGTGTGAACCCACAGCCAAATAGCCAGAACAAACCCAAACTCCAAGTCCTGTTCCAAGTTCTTTCGCATCTTCTTCCGGTGTAGATGCGGAGACCGCGCACTCCGGTGCACAGCTGGCAAATCTAGGCCTTCATGCCGACTTGTAGTTCATCAGCGTCATGCCCATGAAGTACCTCTGGCCACAACGATCGGTTTTACCCGGTTTGGCTTTCAACTGATCGTGCGGCCGTCTTTTGTTCATCCCAACACCTGGCATAGGGGACCAACTCTTTTCGGTGAAAGCCCTGATCATCTTGAGGTAGCTGAGTTGATTGAGGTTACTGATCGGTGACCGATGTGGGATCCCGGCAAAATCTCTAAGCTATTCGCGCTGAACACCGTCAATCTTCTGACACCACTTCCAGCTACGTCGTAGCAGTTTGGAGGTCCATGATCCTGCACAGTGGCACAGTGGTGACAATGTGGCGACATGGAGCAATTGTTTAAGGACAAGCCCACATGAGCAAGCGCCAAGTCACCTCAAAATGATCTCAAACATGCAGGACATGAATCGCGAGGGATTGGTTGAGCTATATAGGATAGTATAGGATGGTAGTGATACTCCTGATAGCCGAATGGATGTAAATCCGTATTATCCATATTATCCTGCACAATGATCACAATGCAAATCAATTGCACAATATTGCACATCAATTCACAACGATCGACCGTTGCCATACATCGGAAAAAAAAAACAGCTGATCAGTCTCATGTCGTGAGATCTTTGGACGAGACGAGTCTATCGAAGGCTGTGAAAGATGAGGGATTTTATGGTTCTATGGAACACCTTTTGTTTTACTTCTTCCGTAGTAACAATGAGTTTCTCAAACAAAGGATTTATGCTAACCAATCGCCACTCAGTGGGCTGTGGTCTGTCAACAAACGCTCTTCCACGCGCACATTCCCTTGTCTGTATGAGCGAAAGACTTGCTGTGCAAAGATCCATCCTGCGAAGATCCGTCGTCGGGGAAAGTGGACACGATCCAAGGAAAGTGGAGAGTGAATGGAGAGTAAACGGCAGAATCCCCAAATTTTGTTGTTATATATGGACCCCCTTGGGGTGCCAGCGCCATCGAACCTCTGAAACCTCTGTATGATGTATCTTGGGTTTTGTCGCGGCATGTGCATGAGTCAAAACCCGGTCACAGGGTGCCACTCCGAAAAAAAAAGGAAATGGATCATAAATTGCATGTTCAAAAAGGTATAAGAAGGTCATTCTTGTGATGAGGATGACCTTTTTCATCATCAATTTTTCCGGAGTTCGCCACAATTCAGAGCTCTAATCCTCTGAAAATTGTCTCCAGTTCCAGCATGCGATTTTTTCATGATTTGTCCATCACAAGTGGTGTCCTGAAACTCTCTCGCCCCCGTCGGGAATTTGGTTTCGAAACCAACACAGCTGACTTTGAATACATGGTTACTTCATTTCCACAAGGCCACATCCATAAGGCTATAGACTCATGGGAACAAAATCATCGCAAAATGTCCCATTTACTTCGTTGGACAGCTGCGTGAGGACATCAAGCGATGGCAGCGATGTCCCTTCTTTTTGTTTGACTGCGAGCCCACCCGGGGCAATCCGCAGAGCTCAGCCAGGCTGCCTCCTGTGGTCGGAATGGACGCGACTCGATGGTTGCCAATTGAAGCGAACCTTTTTAGGGCGGGTTTCACGATTTTGGACGAGCTGAAGTGTCCCTTCCCCAAATTCCTGACCGTCCTTTCCCCTTTTTCTACAGTAGCTTCCATCGTCCCGATGCCAGCAAGTCTCCTACAGGAAGCCTTTGGCTCAACGTGGCAAAAGGAGACCTGGTGACCGGAGTAAGAATACAATATTAAATTAATATATATATATATTATATATATTTGTACTTACGGAATTGAAGGCGCAAGCACTAGGTGGACACCTTCCACAAATGAAGTCGAAACAGTTACATTGGAATATTTATAGAACATCTTCCCGGAATTGAAGTCCAAACATTCACTTGGAATAAAATATATGTCTATATAAATATATCTATAGTTATTTATATATATATGTATATGCTACACTCCCCTAAAGCCTACCTTTTGAAATTGGACAAGTTCACTGGTATTTGCAATGGTTTGGTGAGATTTCAGAAAACAAATTGAACAGCATAGTTTTGACCATATTGTGGTCTTTGTACGTGATTGTGATGACATGGGAAGAACAACATGCGCAGAGGTAACCATATTCAGAATGTTTCTTGCTGCGCTTGACTGCTTGTTTCTGGATGGGCAATGAAAGGATGACGTTGGAATTTGCAGAATTTGTTGCCAGTGACTGTTAGATCTTTTTGTTGAGAGAACATTTCAAAGACAGCAGGGCGCACTATGCTGCAAGCAAGGTGGCGGGTTGTTTTTTTTTGCCGATACTGGAGCATGAGCTCAGGCTGATGGGACAAACTTCGCCAGCTCCCATTGGCAGAGTGGGCCAGTCAGCTTCCAAACGTCTTGGCCCATATGCCAGTACTCATACTGGGCAGACCGAATCTGGGCCTTGAGGGTGGCAGACCCGACCGTTGAGTTTGACTGCACGTGGATGCGGTCCTTGAGGAACCTCCACGCCCTGTCGATGACTTGACTCACATTTTTTGCCAGTCTTTGGGCACTTGTGGAGTGCAATGCGAACGTAGACGTAGACAGGAGCTTGCCACATGAATTTCCCTCTCACTTTCACCCGCTTCTTGCAATGGCGAACATTGTCGTGAAGGACGCCCTTGACCTTGGCTTTGAAAGACTTGGCAGCATCCGTGTGCAAGATGATGCGCCTGCCTTCCAAATGCTTTTTGGTCATAGGGCCCCGCTCGGTCTTCCGAATGGCCCCGGGTCCTGGAGCTCGCTTTGCCGAGGTCTTGGGTGTGAGGCGAGAAAGCACGAGGGATGAAGGAACGCCACGCTGCACCAGCCCAGACCAATGATCCCATTCAATCGGGTTGGCAGGGTCTGAAGCAGCAGCGTTCAACTCTTTTTGTCTCGTCTGCCTCCACATCTGCCCAGGCGCGGCCATCTCCAAAGGTAATATCCCGTGCCTTTGCTTCCACCCATCGCCTTCTCAAATTTCGAAGCTTCCTGCTCATGTCTTCAAGGGCTTTCTTCTTGCCGTCCAAGAGGTGGTGAGCCACGGTGTGTGGCACACGGAGCAATAAAAGAAGCAAGGTTGCAGCTTGCTTCTGTAAAGGGCAGCAACCATTGCCCCTTCCATCCACAAAGAGGGGATGCAGGCGATGCGGGTTCACATAGACCTGGCACCCTTTCCGGTTGCACCGGTGCTGGTGCGTTGGGCCTCGGAATTTCTGGAGAGAAGAAGGCTTGCCCTTGTTGCATCTATGGCAAGGTAGGTACCAGACATGAAGCAGACTCTGACCGACATGGCGTAGGCAGTGTCAAAGGGCGTTCTACCTGCCCCTTCACGCCACCCTCCTCCTCAACCGGCATTTGGGCAGGTGGTGGCTTGACCTCAGCTGCCTTGGCCAAAGCCTCATCTCTGGTGGGGCTTGGGATTTCGGGTTCAGGTGGGCAGGTCTTAACTTCCCACTTTGGAAGTAGATTGTCTGCCCGCAAGAGTGAGTTTCACCAAGCCCGCATCGCTCTTGTTCATTACAGTGGCTAATGTACATTGGCTGCATCAAACCAAGATTCCTGATAAGAGTTGTGTGCAATCTTGGTTCTTGGTTCCTTGGTTTGAGCACTGTACGCGTACAAATGTGTTTGTACGCGTAACTTTCCTGAAACCAACGACGTGCAGTCAGCATCCCAAGAGTTATCGTGCAAAAAAACATGATACACACATATATATATATATATAGGGTACCCCCCTTTCAAGTAACTGAAATGTTCCAAAAGGTAGAGTTTGCTTTAACCATATATATATATATACATGTGCTAGAGTCTTTTAGTGATCTTGCACGTCGTGATCTGTTCTATTTATCTTCTACAAGTGTTCTGCTCGGGCATCTATCTCTAGGCCTCTAGATCTCTAGAGTTTGAGAACTGAACTCTAGATCTTTAGACCTGTAGGCTCTAGATCTTTAGGCCTCTAGGATCCTAGATCCAATACATCTAGATCTATAGACCTTCTGCTTCTACACCTCTAGACCTCAAGGTCTCCGACATAAAACTCTGGACAGATGTGAGTGGTTCTGCACACTTCTCAAATTCCAGGATGGTTAGACATACTATAGGACTTCAGATTCAGATGTTGCATTATGTAATATATTAATATCAAAGGTCAAAGGATTAAAATTTAGCCCATGTAGATACCACGCAACTGTTTCACTCTTCGTCACCCATTCTGCCATTGAAACATCAGCTCTCCAGCCCTTTCTGGCTGTAGCTCCTCCGGGCTGCTGCGGCGCCCCAGCAGCGTGTTCCGGTGCGGGTACCGCCCGAAGGTGCGCAAGACCCGGCCGTGGGCGTCGTGGGAGAGGATAGCCTCGCAGCTCGGCTGCGAGGGCGTGTGCAAGGAATGATGGACAGGAGGTGCACCCGGACTTCAATCCCTATGGTGTCTATACTCCATGTCTACTCCATGTGCCCCTTTTTATATCCAGGAGGCTTTGGTAGTTAGGCTCAAAAACCACAGGACAAATGGATGGCATCGCAAGCTCGAGGTTCCTCTTGTGGCTCCTGCTTCCTCAACGAGTATCCAGGCCCAGGCCATGGCACGTTCACTGCGAAGAACCAGTGACTGGGAGACTGGGAGAATCGTGAACCTGGTGAACCTCTTTTACATGTTTCAACAACAAACGCTTCTTTAGGGGGTAGAATGTAGGACGGTTGATCTTATGAAGAGGTTTTACAATCCAAATGAAGCTTTATGAATCAAGAGTCTACATGATACACGTTTTGTGTTTTGGCGTGGTTTCTCTCTCTCACACACTGAAGCGGATAAGACATAATAGATATGTCATACGAAATCATGGCGAGGGTGATCCATGGAACGAAATCACGGCTGGGTGGTGGTTTCGCCCCACAGCTGAATAATATATGAGTCCTGGGATCCATTCTTGGTTTAAACAAACACTATCAAGTCTTTTAAGTACATCAACTTTTTATCTAGATGGTCCATCAAAAGGAGCATGTTGATACCTGATGAATCGACTCAGACCGTGTTCGTTCAACGGGCTGTTATGAGACGGATTTTTCCTTACAATGGAACGACCGACGTTCATATGGCTGTGGCGCACCCCGGAGAGCCCCTGAGGCGGACGCCTAACGTCGGCCTACCGACCTTCCCAGAGTCCCCCGGTGTAGGCAGTCTCCGAGCTGAAGTCTTTATGATGGATGACACCATCCGAGTAGGCTGTCTCCAGTAGACCAACCATCATATTTGTGAAGTCTTTATGGTTGGTCCTCTAGTTGTATCAGGCGACTGGGATTGGTGACCTGCCAGTTTCGCCGTATTTCCCTGTCGGTGAAGCGTCACAAAGTCCAGCTCATGTTGGAAGGATGTTGGAGTGAGCGGGACACGTCCCCAATCCCATGGGGGCTTTGCAGGTGATCCAAGTATATATGACGCCCTTGGGTTTCCGCACTCCTTGAGGTCGACATGTGGCCAGTTCAGCCATGAGAAACAGTGTGGACAGTACCCGAGCCATGAGAAACCTCGGGAACTCGTCGGTGACCTGAAAAATACCGTGCTACTTGAAATTGTTTGTGTTCATTTGATTTTTACCTGGGTTTGGAACCTGAATGTCCTTGATTCAAGTGTCATCCATCATTGGTGGGGGGCCATCTTCGCCATGTCCTTGGTTCCAGTTCGTCCAGATCCTGAATGCGCCTGAAACAGCATGTTGGAAGCATCTTCCGGAAATCGGCGCATGTTCTTCTGCAAAATGTGAATGGCATGTTGTACTCGGGAATCTCCGGGACCCTCTGCATGCACGAACGGTTGGACGATGCAAAGCAGCTCAGCTGCAGAGCACCGGCGGGAGAAATCACTGTCGATCAGAACCTCGCTGGCGGCACCTGGAAGCTTTGATGAATCCGCATTGAAGGGGGGCAGACGAAATCCGTTTGAAACACCGCTGACGTCCGGCTCTGACGAGCCCTGTGTTAACTATGTGTCAAGAGGTGCAAAACAAAGGCCTGGCCTATTCTGAAACCACGGCACATTTGCCTTCTTCTCGGATATACATGGATAGCAGCTGTGACCAAAACCGTCTCACTGTTTCACTCAACCAAGCGGCATGCTTTTTCATCATAGCGAAAGGCATCAGATGTGCCTCTGAAAACATTCCACGGGATCTGATCGAACAGCACCACTTTGGCCAACTGAAGTTGGTCTGACCTCGATTTCGGCCAAACACACAGGAACTTTGCAGCATTTAACACGTTTAGCGCATTGGGGATTTTGAACATCGACTGGATGCACCAAACATGCAGCTAGCAACGACCATTTAATGATACGACTAGTAGTTAACTTTTTGTTCATGTTTAATCCCTTAACTGGGGCGCACTTAACGATGTCAAAATTTCATTCCTGCATCTAAAAATAATTGCTGCTGGGACCGCAGCTCGGAAGTACTCAATGATGAATCCAATAAAATCAATCAATAACATTAAAGCCCGAATAGAAAAGGTGGGTTAACCTGCCCATGGGACAAGGGCAAAGGAGACCCTCATGCAGCCAAACCGGAGATCTGTCATGCAGCCAAACGGTCCTGTAGCCGTAAAGCTCACTTCTGGTTGTTAAATGAACAATCGGTCAGGCAGCCAGGCTTCACGCCCCTCTCTCTCCTACTCTCTCCTTTGATAGTGGACCATCTCCCCCAATTCGAACTTAGAATTGAAAATAATTCACCTATTCAAAAAGTTTCATACCTGCACTTAAGGAAATCACCTCAGTAGTGACAGGGCTTGGTATGCCCTCCCCTTAGTGCAGTCGGTAGCGCTACCGACTGCAGTAAGCCTCCATGTGATTCCCTTAAGTGCAGGTGAAAATAATTCAGGGATGCTTAAATCAATGCAAAAACCATGCCCCATTGATTGAGAGCCATGGGCTTACTGAGGTCGGTAGCGCTACCGACCTCCCTAAGGGGGGGGTATGGCATGCCCTCCCCTTACTGCACTGATTTCCTTAAGTGCAGCTGCATTTTGAAAATAAATAGTTTCAATCAGGGTGACCAGCAAGAAAAGAACATATCATCCGCCGAAAGTCCAAACAGTGGTCAGAGACTTGACTTTCCACATGTTCTAGAGAATCATATCCTTGCTTGAATGTGTAGACAGAGATTCAATAACAGCACTGCTGCTGTAAGTTTGTACGGATGGTACTAAAGAGCACATGCTTGTTCCATGCCCTACCGAATCACAACGGGTCCTAAAGAGAGAAAGTGAAAGCTGTGACTTCACGGGGTGCCCTATGTTTGGGGAGTTCAAGCCAAACATCCCAGCCTTCTCCCCAACTCATAGGGAGATTTAAACATGTCAAAAATAAGGGAAGTGATTTTTTTACTTTGTTAAGTGCAGGGCAGTTAAAAGACAGTCAAATGCTTGATTCACGGGCATCTGAGTGACCCCTCCTCCTGCCATTCATCTTTGGAAGCATCATACTGCCGAAGCATTGGCAGAAACTGTCTGGAGGCCTCGTCGTACTTGCCACCACTGGTGTACCACATCTTCTTGCGAGCACGGAGGTACTCAAGTTCATTCATTCCTGACCGGTGCATGTCACGTCATGTCCAGCTCCGGACACCGCTTCAAGCGATGCGTTGCCTTTCGATCCCCCGGTTTCGCACTACCTGAGACTCAACATGCATCGTGAAAACGGGCTCAATGAGACTCGGATGTCTGAAGAATCCTGTGGCCTTTCTCATGCGGAAGGCAACAAGGACCGGTGACCGGGCTGTGCAGCCGTTCGGGGGTCATGCAGTGCGTTTTCCATCAACGAGGCTCAAAACCCACGTGATGAAGGCCCAAGGGTCGTTGGGGCGCCTCGAAGATCTCTGGGCCAAACCAAAACAGCAGCAGGGCACGAGCATCCTCCGGCACCCCCTGCGCAGAGGGCCTCGTGACCCGGGAGCGTTTCCACTTGGACGTTGCAAGACGTGCATGACATCGAGGTAACAAGCCTCCAGCTGACTGAGCTGCAAGGTGCACAAGAAAGCTGTGTGAGCTGTAGGCTGTTGAGTAACAAAATAAGAAACAAAGACGCTCTTGGCGTCGGCGCCCACAATAAGGGCCGTGAAAATCCCCAGTGTTATATAATTTTCCTCTTACGGCAGTGTGCAGCTATAGCACATGCCGTGTCCGTCAGACGTGTTCTTTTTTTGCGACACGTGTGATGAGGTTTCTGAAGCGTTTATATAGATAGGAGGGAACGCATGGGCATGGCCAAAATCCCTGGTATGGATCGAGGTATGGATCGTGTGTGGGTTTGGGTGCGTGATCCAAGCCTTATGATTCTGGCCGCAGCCACATGCACACATAAGTTTCATGACATGGAGGTTGGGACTGGGGAACGAGAGTACGGCGTGGGACGGTGGCACAGACGTGGCCGCGGTGGCGTGGCCGGGTTTTGCTGCTTTGGTTCTGGTAGAACCGGGAATCCCCACACAAGGATTTGAAGTGTTTGGGACCTCTCTCTCGGTTGAACCCTTTTCTCTATACATCGATATGTTCATGCCCTTGTTGGATGACACCATTCATTTCATTGTATATGCTTGATTTTCGACTGGTCTTGGGTTTATTGGGATCTAGTTGGACCCAGCCGTGAGGACTAGTTGCACTTTGCAATCGGAGAACCCGAAACGCAGGGATTGATGGCAAACTCAATAAGGATGAGCTCATGAAACACGTCCATGCGTTTTTCTGGCATAGAGGTCGCAGGCATGGCCTGTTCAAAAATTGGGATTAGCATGCAGCAAGGTCCGCAGAAACAAAAAAAGATTCTGAAACTTTATGCTCGCTGATCGTGTCTGGCGACAACGCTCCGAAACCACCAAACTCAACCCTAACAGCGCTTGTCTGGCTACATGCTACGACCATGCCCCCAAACGCTTTGATGCAAACCCAACCTGAGTTTGGAACCACGAAAAACGCCATATCCAGGTTCAAAAAACATCTCACACGGCCCCTCACAGGTATGCAGGTTTTAGTCTCCCTATTTGAGAGCTCTTTATCATGACTCCTCAACACCATATCCGCACCTGATCCTTGAAAGGCTGCCAAAGTCAGCATCCCAAGCTGCAGTCCACAGCGCGTCCACGGTGCCAGTGTTGCTGCTGGCGGCCGCGTCCACGTTGGTGCTGGGCTGAGAGATGTGCCAGGCGGGCAATGTGACGTGAGAGCTGCTCGATCCATTGAGAATGGATCTCTCGGTGCTGTAGTGAGTGGACCCTTTTGCACTGGACCCCTTTGCCAAGGAAACATGAACAGCATCTTCCCCAGAAGGGGATTCACCCGGGAAAATCAATACCCTAAGCAAACCAAGATTTGGTCGGAAGTCTGTCTTGCTTTGACAGGGCCTTTGCTGGGTTTTGCGTGGCTCATGTTTAGCATTCCAAATCGACTGACTGGAAAATGGCTGCCTTCAATCGAAAGGCGGAAGCACATTGAAGATAATTTAAGCGAGGGCAAGCACACCAAGTTTCGATCTCCAGGCTGTGAAACTATTGCTTGAACTGCCCAACATGGCATGTGGCAATACTATGCCGTACTATGCAATACTAGAAGCTGTCATTAATTGGCTAGACTCACATGGAAGCACAATCTTATCCAATCTGTGGCCATTCAACTCTATCATTAACTAATTACACCGCGATCATCCATGGTGCCCTACGTAAAGATAACATGCTGCTCTACTATGACTCTACGTGTGTTGCTGCGTGTTGTTTCATGCCCCCTCCAAGGTCCAACCTCGCCAGTCCCGCCAGCCAGTCCTCACAAACAATACGGTAGGGAGCAGCAGAGTCCAACTCTTGATCGTCCTCCACCATCATCGCCCCCCTGGAAAGACCGAACGTGGGGGCGTTTTTCTGATGCGGGGTTACATCGTGGAAGCAAAGGTTGCAGAGGTGTGCCTTTGGATACCAGTTAGATCCATCAGTCTATCTTTCTCAATGGCAAATGCCAGTGGTCACAAATACTGCGCACTTCCACACGGGTCGTGGTCCGTTTGGGATGCGAGGGGCACCAAAGCAGGGTGAAATGGATTTCACCCGTTTTTCATCGCAAAATCCAAAATTGACAGCGTGTGGATGGTCCGTTTTGGAGCTACTTCCGGACACAACACTTCTCCAGGAATGTGGGATTGTCCCATGGTTTTGGCAAAACAGTGAATGTACTACAGTGTATTTATCACCACTAAGTAGTCACTACGGGTAGAAAGATGAATCAAACCTATATTGCTACAGGGCCCACAATGACCTACAAACCGTCCAAACCAAATAGACACAACACCGACAACAAGATCAGCATCAAGAAACCCAAAGAATCCACGCCTCCAACACAAGCAGCTCCCTGACAACTACCACCAGAATTCAACGTTTGCATGTAGAACGCGCCCAACGAACCCCGGACATCCAAACGAGATCTGTCCACCCAAGCGAACCACCCGGAAAGGCCGCAAGGAACAACAACAACAACAAAAAAAAAAAAAAGAGCTTCGCCGCAACCGGCGCGGTCGCCTTGCGCTCGGCTGCCATCTCATGCACCCGTTGCTTGGCCAGCTCGGCCCCCTGGCGAGGTCTCTGCGCGTTGCGCTCCGCCGCGGAAGGAGCGTGCGTCCCTACGGAGGACAGGTGCGTGCACGGGGGGTCTCACGTTGTCGGAAAAAAGACATCAGTGAATCATTGCTCGCTGACATGATATATAACTAACGTAACTAAAATATCACATACCAGGAGTATCCTGTCTGAGTGTTCTGTCTCAATTACCCAGCCCACTGTCGATCTCGAATGCCCGGACAGGATAGTCCAGGCACACAATATACAAAACATGATGACATCATGCTATTGCTTTTCTCCAGAGGTTTTAACAGCTCTTCCTGGAACTGTTTTGATGTTGTGTTTTGTTAATATAGACAGTTCTAGCCCAGTGCTCTCACCACATATAAACATGTTGTAGTCATAATAAGCTCTTCAATGGTATTCACATGCAGGGCTCCCATCGCTTTTGCTTGGGGCCCAAGCCTTCCGACTGTTTCATCATCGGAACCGGACGGTTCCGGTGACCCATCCGCTGAAAAAATCCGGGTTTGTGGTTTGTATGCTGGGGTGACCCAAAGGAAGTCGACTTCGAAAGATTTCAGAGTCCAAGGATCCAACGATGCACACAGCACCGGCCCCAATGGTCAAGAAACACGACCTATACTGGCACCGGCGGCCATGGTTTTGTCCAATGTGTTTTTCTCTTCAGAAATCATGTCGCCTAAACAGGCAGTCCTCGGTGCAGCGAGTCTTTCTTCAGCTTCCCCCCAAGAATCCTCAAACCACTGACAGGGGATGACGAGTTCTTACTAAAATGGTCTTCTAGAACATGGAAGCGAGCCTGACTGGGGAAGCAACGCAATGCGTTTAACGCAAGGTCAAGGTTCTTCGGGTCCTTTCTTGGTTCAGGCAACCGATCACATTTCTCGCCGACTTCCCTCTCGTAAGGAGACCTTTTCGTGTTGTTTTATCGCTGCTCATCACCAAGCAAGAGTGATAGTCGATAGACAGGGACGGCGAACAAGTGATAGAGTGTTTGTCGTTAACAGCATTGTTTTCAGTCTATTTGTTCGTTTCACCACCCCTCAGTCGAAGCATCCCCCTCTCCAAGGGAGGACAACTTGAGATCTGCTGTGGGCAAAAGGAGACGTGCCGCGCGTACACACACACATGCGTCGAAGGGGCAGTTCAATGCAGTACAACACACAAGTTGACAAGGTGCCTCTTGCATCAGCCAAACAGCAAGGTGCTCCTACCTGCATTCGAGAAATAGAGAGAGCCCTGGCAGCCCTGGCTGTGGATTCCGAATTTGAGGTTCTCGGTGATGTGACCACAAGCGACCAAGCAACAAATCATGGGCTCTGCATTTGACAGGCTCGGAACAAATCATGCTCTGCAATGCTCCGCATGTGTCAAACACAGCTCCAGGTCATGTGTTTTGAGAACTGCACCAGGAAAACAAACTAACATTCTCCACTCGATCGTCGCGTGATGGCGTGTTGGCGTGATTCACACTCCACAGAGTGCACACGCCTGTGGCATCATCCCAAAGGCCAAAGCTGGAACATGAGGTGGAGACAACAAACATGCCCAACCTGGCAGTATCTTCAGTGTCGGCCAAATCCAATGTCATACTTCTCTGACGTTCATTTTGGGGGAAACAAATACCAACAAAGTTGTTGAAAGCTACTGCCCACTTAGGAGTGTCCAATCCTCGGCCTTCTCAGCTCCATTCCTGTTTTGCCACATCGGCACACGGAAGGAAAACGAGCTCCAGTGCTGAATCCGTTTCAAAATGGGAGAAGCCACTCCCTAACTACCCAAAAACTTGTCAAAATTCCTTCAATGCGCAGGGTCCCTGAGGTTTCTTTGTACCAGCCAGCTGGTACTAACTTGTTAGCTGCCAGCTAAATAGATTCTAGTCTAGCTCGAGGTCGATCAAGGCTTGGGAGTTCCCCCCGTGGTCGCTCCCATGGTCTTTCGGCTCCATTGTTCATCATGAAGAGTCCAAAAAGAACTGTACCCAGACACTCCATGGGACTGCCATAGGACTGCCGCCCCATTCGGGTGGTCCCAGAAGGGTCTGTCTGGGGCGGCAGTCCGAACTGGCAGTCCGGATCGTCGTGTATGGGGAACGACACAGAGTCACGTGAGCTCTGGGGTGCCGAACTTAGAGGATAGGGGTGCTTCGACGGTACATCCACTCACTATAGATGGGACTTAACACCACCTGGGAGCTCTGTGACTCCCGGTATCTGACCCTGAGTGACGAGACGACCTCTTTGGAGCCCTCAACCAGTCCTAGACTGGCTTGGCGGATGGATTGAGTGGGTTTGAACCAAAGAACCGTTCAACCAGGTCAACCGAACTCTTTTCATGCGAAAACCGGACGGAGAGTACTTCACCCTTCGTGAATGGATTTCTGTCTCAGACCTTGGGAAGATGCCACCAATGCCACGTGTGTCACGACGTAAGATAGGCATCCTCGCAGAACATGCCTTCTGTGCAAGGTGGCCATTTGAGCCCAACATGATTCAACGGAAGGTTGGCATGTGATCAGGGATTTGATGTATCAGCATGGAAAAGCAACCAGTGGGAAGCCCACTGCTTTGAAATCGAAATATATCGAAATCGGCTTTCAAGACCCATGACAGAGCACAGATTTTATATAAGTGTAGGTCCAAACCAGGATACCCGGGTTGGCCTACCTGGAAGGTCAACCTACATGGTGGACCAGTGCTCCAGGTTTTGACCCAACCCCATATGACTGTTATATGTTGGACTAAACATCATGCACAGCTGACATGTGTCAATAGCTGAACCATTTTGGACAAAGGATGATCATGATAACCTCCATCGATATTTAAAGCTCGTGTGCGTGTCATTTGTGAGCGTGAGTCTCTGTGTTTGAACAACATATAACATTGTCAATATGTGTCAATCATAGACAGGTTCCATCATTCTCCCCGCAGTGCACATTGGATTGGGCGTGTCACCCTGGAAGTATGTGAACTTCCCCACATGGACCAATTCTACTGCTGGGGGGGCCGTGCCTCCAGCGGGACGTCGGTGACCGAAAGGTGCAAATCTCCAAGACCAAAGGAAAATGCATCTGCGTAGCTGCAGTCTTCAAAGTATCTCGGAAAATACGTACAGTCGTGCCTGCTTTTGATGGGGTCATGTCCCCATTTGTGTACTTGAAGTCAGTTCGGATCTACTGCCCTAAGAATCCACACTCCAGTTGTGCTGGGTCTGGGCGACCCACAGGGAGACAAACATCTGGCCATGTAGCGAAAAGTCGGACGACCTGAAAACCCACAGGTGAGAACCCTCATGGTGTCTGCTCATCTAGCCCTATGAGAACCACAAACCGATATGAATCCTGTGATGAAACAAGTACAGGGACTGCTTGGTACCACACCATCTTCATGATTTTGAGATCTGAAGGGCCCAGGTGCCAGAAGGGTTGTAGCCATAACATCTCTCAGCATGCTGCTTGAGCTCACAGAAGGACATCGAAACATATCAAAACAAAGCGTTTAGATGGATGGCAAGAACAACATGCGATCGTCTCAAGCAAGCTGAAGACGAATTCAACGATAGCAAGAGCCATATATCGGATTTCCCATCTCAAGGCTTGGTTTTTGATCCACAATTGTCGAGCAGGCTCCTATCAACAATTAGGTGAGTGCATGGGCAAAATTCCATCTATATGTGGATACGATCAAGGTC